TGATGGTTTCCAGGTTCATCCATGTCCCCACAAAGGACCCAAACTCATCGTTTTTGATGGCTGCATAATATTCCATGGTGTATATGTGCCACATTCTCCCTATCCAGTCTATCGTCGATGGGCATTTGGGTTGGTTCCAGGTCTTTGCTATTGTAAACAGGAGCACCATAATTTCTAAGGGCTGCCTCCTGAACTAGTTTGAAAACCAACATTACACTCCTGACTGCCTTTTGTTATTTCTAGGGGAAAGGAATGTTATTAGCCTCAGTGAAACTTGCAGCGAAAGGCTTAGATACAAAGTAATCTTAAAAATAAATTTAAAAAGACCGAAGGAGAATTAAATAGGGTAAGTGTAAGAAAGATAGCATAATAGTTCCTGTTTCCTGAGCCCTTATTGTGTAACAGGCTTTGTTCTAAGTATTTTACAAAATTTCATTTAATCTTTACAACCATCTGTAAGTATTCATATAATCACCCACGTTAGACAGATGAAGAAAGGAAGGTCCAGAGACCTGCTCAAGGTCACTTAGCAGGTAAGTGTTGGGTGACACTGAGATTCAAACTCCAGTTTTCCGGCTCCAGTGATGACACTATAATGCTTCTTTATGTGTATGTGATTTTTAAAACTGACATAAAGCATACAGATGTTTTTGCATATGTATACAACCGTATGGCCATTAGCTAGATCAAGATATTGACTATTTCCAGCAAACCAGAAGGCTCTCTCCTGTCCCCTCTCAATCAATTCCCCTGTAAGTAATCACTACGTTGCCTCTAACACCATAGGTAGGTGGATTTTAGTTAGATTAATTCAACTTTCTGGAGTTAACACCAAAAGATTCCATATGCCAGCCCTTCACCTTGCCATGTTAGCTGTGCTATTCAAAGCTGCTCTAGCTCTGACTTTGCAAGCATTCACTGTAGGACATGGCTTCATATCCGATTTCTTGTATCGTTCTGAAGTTAAGACTAATTTTTTAAAATTGAAGAAACTCCTGGATGAACTGCTACGGGATGGGGTAGATTCAAAGTGCTGTTACCAAACAAACCTCTCTACCTTGGAAGCTTCACAGACCAGAGCTTCCTTGATTGATGTAATTTGGTGCATCTATTTGCGATCATGCCATCTGATGAGGAAGTTGGATGACCACGAAAGATCATCTCAGTTTATGGAAGGGAAGACAAGCCAGGCAGAGTTGGTAACAGTGATTGATTCGCGTCATCTTGCAGCACTCAAAGATGTTTATGTCCCAAATACCTTCCGCAGTCGACTTGCTGTTTTATCATAAGAGGGAAAGCATAGAGTGGAAGAAAATCTACGTGGCGGGTGAAATATGACCTAATATCCGTCGACAAGGCATTAATGTTGTGGCTTTCCCGCCCTTACCGACCAGCTCTTAAAACCATGTTAACTTCTTAGCCAACCTGACAGTGACAGAAGCAGCGCCATGATTTTACCTCAGGCTCGCAAGCTCTGGTTGGTGAATTTTCAGCAATTATTCTAAATAACACTCTCGGTCTCCCCCACAACCCCACTGCTGTTTTGTTTTTCTTTCTCATTCTGATTCTCCCCACAGCCAACCGTGGCCTTTTGAAGCCGTCTACAAACTACCATTGAGAATCCGGGAAAGAATAACTGACACTTGGGGCCTTCGAGGACTCCCACAGTGATATGTGCCTGAGGTGACCGAAGTGGGGAGATCTAGGGGAACGTTCTGGTCATCAAAGCAGGAGGACAGGCCCTGAAGTGGGCGCACGTGACAGCAGCAGCCACCTCGAGAGTGACATCACCCCTGGGGGCGGAGCCCAACTATGTAGGGCCCTGTCAGTTACTGAGTTAGCTTCCTCCCCGCTGCCCCTCCAAATACCACCCACCAGTCCAAGACCCTCGGGGATACGAGAAATGCCAGGACTTCCCAGAGCGCCAGAGCCAGGGCCCCGTCTCTCCGCACTGAGGATGGCTGCATCCCCACTCCCTTTTCCAGCCGCTCCCCACCCACAAGCTGTGGAAGGGGCGGGGGCGCGCTAGCTCCACCACGCACGCGCCCCCACGCACGCGCGCTCCCTCCGCGCTCGCGCCCCTCCCCACCCCGGCCCGGAGGGGGCGGGGCTGCGGGCGGCCTCCGAGGGTGCGACGCCCCCAGCGCGGCGGCGGCGCTAGCGAGCGGCCGGCCGGGCGCGGATTGCTGGGCGCGCTGCTCCAGCGGGGCTCGCTGGCACAGCCGCCTCGCGCAAGCCGCCCGCCCTGCGGAGGAAGCTCCGAGCGCTCCGAGCGCCCGGCCCGCGGCCGCTGGCGCTGCCCTCCCGCCGCCGCCGCCGCCCTCCGTGCCTCCTCCGGGCGGCCCCGCCCCCATTCCCATCCCCCTCGCGCTCACCTCCCGGCTGTGCCGCGCGCGAGGCGGAGCAAGGCGCCCGCCGCTGCCGCCGAGTCGAGTCGAGCCGAGCCGAGCCGAGGGACAAGAGCTGGCCCCTCGAGCCGCCGCTGACAGGAGCCCCGCCGCGGGCTGCACTTGCCGGCTGCGAGGCCCCGCCGCGCTGTTCCGGGGCGCAGACCCGCCGCGGGGCGTTGGAGGGCAGCGAGGTGCTCCCGGAATCGCGGGCGGCGCCGGCGGGCGGCGCGGTCCTCAGAGGAGACCCCGGGGACTGGGGCTTGACCCGGAGGTGCAGAGAGCCCCTCAGAGCTTCAGGTAAGGGCCCGGGGAGCAGGGCGAGGAGAGGTCGCTTCGGTGACAGGGGCGTTCGCCTCCACCGCCTCGGCTCTGGGGAGAGGGGCGGGGGCGAGCGGGGAGACGGCGAAATGGGCAGCGAAGTGCCTCGGTGTCCAAGGCGTGGGGAAGGCTGGCTTCGAATGTGACACCAAGGCGGGCTTCAGAGGCGTCTGGGGTCGCCACTTGGCTGTCACCAAAGGTGTCATGGAATTTGGTACCTAGAGCGTCTCTAGATGACGGGGATTCAGGATAAGATGCGAGGCGGATTGCTAAACGTGGCAGGGAATGTGGTGCAGAACGAGTTGCAAAATGTGCCCCCAGAATGCAGCATAAAAGTAGTTGTGAAATGTGCCAGGTGAGGGACAGGGTGGGCTGGCCTGTGTGGCGTTGAGATTCATGGTAGAAGTGTTATTAGCGGTATTAATAATTCTTCTGGGAAAGGAGGTGTAGCATAATGAAAGATTAATAAAGCTCGTTGCTAGATATTTTGCCATGGGAAATCGAGAAGAGCTATGATAAGCTTTTTTTTTTTTTTTTTTTTTGAGGTAGAGAAAGTAACCACGTGAAAGAAAAAATTGTGTCTGGCTTTGAGATGGGAAAGAAAAAATAGGGCTAAAATAATTCCAGGTTTTGCTGTCAGCGTGTAGAGCACTGGTACAATTGTATCCAGTCTTCACTTCCAGGTGTGAAATGTTTAAAATGGTCTTCACAAAACATACACGATGATAATTAACATTAGGAAGATTTGGTGTTTCGGGTATCTTTCACTCTCTTCTCTGCTCCTCTCCAGGAAAAGACACTAATAAACAAAACCCCAAACGGCTTGACCATAATTATGAGTTCAAGATCATTAGGCAAAGGGAAGTATTTTTCATATGTGCCCTTTTCCTGATTTTTACACAGGTGAAAATATCTGTAATGAGGAAAACAAAACAATATGGTGAACAAAAGGGATACATTTTCAGGGGTTGGAGCCAGTATCTGTTACAATGGTTAATTACAGAAAACGGTAGTAGTAAAATATTTTTGTATGTTCTTAGTGTTGGGATGGTGAAATAAAAAAAAATTGAATACAGTAAATTGGCATAAAAAGCAACAACGTGGATAGTGTCAGTGAAATGCTTCTTGCAGCATTTCCCAGGTAGATCCTCTTAGGAATGTGAGCACGAAATAAAACGTTAAACATTCCCTTTCTCCTCTCGCCCTCTCCCCTCTGTATCTAGATATTTATGTCTATATATAGATACATGTACAGTACATGTATATTATACATATGACATTACCCACATGCTGCAAAACGTTGTGACTTCCATTTAAGAACATCTGTTTTGAGAGGATGTCAGAACATAGCTGGGATTTCAGAAGTAACAAAAGACAACTCCATGATCTATTTAATGTAACTTACATGTATACATATAATGAGTGGTAATATACTATGAAACAAAAACATGGAGATGTGTTCCTTAGAATGTACTTAATTATTGATGAAATTTTAATGCTTTATGTTAAAATTCTTGTAAATAAATTAAATTACATGTGTGAATGCTGTTCTCATTAGAGTAATTTGCCAGATAGTCTGAAAATTCATACTGATTGGCTTTCCCTTAGATCCAAATCCAGTCATTGAGGGATCATTTGCTTCAAAGGCAAAAATGGATTTTCTTTGGTGGTTAATTTAGGGTTTTAGTCTTTTCTGTAGATATGTCCCTTACCTTGAGATGCTGTTGGGGCTGAATAACGGAGGAAAGGGCCAGAGGAGAATAAAGAGAATTCTGTTGGGTCTTCCTGTTTTGTTCTGACTGTAAGCCATATGTACTGCCACCCCCTACTGTCTGTAGGAAGAGGTGTTACAGAGCCGGATTCTTTTCTTGTTATCACTGCCCCCTTGTGTAAGGGAAGAAATTGATAGTTGCACTGTGGGAACCAGGCCTCTCAGATTGTTCTTGATAGAGTAGTTATGCAGATCTGTGAATCACCTGTTTTCTTCAGGGTTGCAGGGCTTTAAACTTACTGTTAATCAGGTCTCAGATTTGATGACTATTTTAAATATTGGTGGCATTTGATTTTAGTCAGGAATTCAAATTGCTTAAGAATGTTTTCGGTATGTTCAGGAAGAGGGTGCAGTACTCTTACTACTACATTCTTCCCTTATTGTATACAGGAGATTGGTTCCAGGACCCCCACATATACCAAAATCCACACATGTTCAAATCCTGCAGTTGCTGTGCGGAACCCGTGTGTAGGGAAAAGTCAGCCCTCAGTATACTCGGGTTTTGCATCTCATTAATACTGTATCGCTTGAAAAAAATGTGTATGAGTAGACCAGCACAGTTTAAGCTCACGTTGTTCAAGGGTCAGCTGTACTAGCAGTAACAGCTCACATTTATGCAGCACTTCTTCGCCAGTCCTGTTGTACATTGTTTTAATCAGTTCCAACACCCTATGAGGTATGTAGCGTTATTTCCATTTTACAGATGAGACTCTGAAACACAGAGAAGTTAAATAACTTGCCTAATATTATATAGCTAAGAAGTAGAAAAGCTAAGTTTCCATTTAGGAACGCTAGCTCCAGAACCTGTGCTCCTCGTCAATAGGCTATATTGCTCTCTCACTCAAGTTAGTATTGACAAGGCATACTGAAAATGCATGTGCCCATCATAAAGCAAGTACTATAGATGTAGATAAACCTGGACAACTCATGTAAATGTTAAGCCTGCATATATACAAAAGATACAGTTATTTGCACTATGAACATTTTTCTTTAGGCATTTGTTTTTTAATTCTGGGATTATGTGTAGGGGAGTATCAGTACTTTTTATATGGTTAAGGAAATATTTGTGATGGTGGTTGGTGTTAAGGGAACTTTAGAGGTAAAAAGTTAATTTAAAGTAGTTTAATATAGTGTGTGTGTACATAGTGTGTATATAAATACGCATTACACAGACACACAGTCTCTTTAAGAGCACCAGTAAATCTTTACTGCTTATTTTCTGTAGGGAAATTAAGGCTAAATTGTGACATTTTTTTCTACCTACTCACATTTTTATGATCTCTTTTTCATTTATATTAAAAAGTACCATAATTAGCACAAATGGATTGGATGCATATGTACATTTTACTTCTAATGTCAACAAATGTTTATTCAGATTTTTCTCACACTTAAACATTGTTTTATAAGATATTGACTACCTATGACAAAATATTTATAAAAATGTAAAATATATAGACTAACAATGCAGCCAACACTTAATAGGCCTTTTATGCAGTTTAAGAAATGGAACATTATCTTTCACAATTATAATAGTTATTTTCTTCTCTTAGCCAAACTGTTTCTGCCATTCTTTTTCAACAGAAACCTTTCCTTATTATGCGGTGAATTGCATATCTCATGTAACCAAACACTTCCTTTTTTATATGCATTTGTTGATATGGGAATTCAGTGTAATCTGCTTATGGCTAAAACTTATTCAGGATATATGCTTATGTAATTTAATATATTTAATAAATTGTTATAGACTCAGACTCTGTATTTGTACTGGTTACTCGTTGGTAGTTCATTTTAGCATACTTGTAAAACTCAATTTGGTTTGCAAATTTTGATTTTACTAACATTGTTAAACATGAATAGATTATTTCCCTCTTCCTATCATGGATTCTTGAGTGTCCCATGCTAGCTCTCCTTTTTCTTCTCTTCCCCATAACTGCCTTTGCTCTTTGAGTATTTCTTAATTGACTCTGTATGAATTATTTTGAATGGAGAGGGAAGGAGAACCTAGAAAGGAGTACACTAATCCAGTTGTTTCAAAGGGGACTGTTGGGGTAATTGGTACTGATTGAGTATATGGTAGAACAAGTGTGCATAAAAGAAATGGAAGAAAATCCTCTCCTTGTCATATTCCTTTTACAGTAGAATTAAAATTAGGTCTGAGACACTCTGATTGGGCACACTAGTTGGGTGTTGTTGGATTGAACTTACCCGGAATCACCAGTGTTAGCTGGGATATTTTTACTAACAGTGCAATATGCATATTTTAGTTCAAGGAGTTAGAACAAGCTGTTGCAGAGTACTGTTTACTCTTCTAGTACGAGTCTGATCAAGGTAACAAATATTATAAAATAGTTTGGAAGCTAGTTTAGTTATTTGGACTTGTTTTTCTTTGTGAATGAATTAAGACTCAGCATTGCTATATCTGCTTAATGCGCCTGCAGTCATCAAATGCTGTGATTATTTTGAGGGAAAGGCACTCTGTAAATATACTATATAAATAAATAGCTTAGACTTCGTTATAATACCATGAAAACTACCACTTGGTTTCTTTGAATAGTGTCTTTCGTAGTAACTTGCATTAGATGAAGATTGTTTAAGGTGAAAAAAAAAATGAGTTGAGGAGATGTGTGTATGGTGATGGTGAGTGTGTATCCCTGATGAGTTTCTTGAAAAGGTATGGAGAGAAATAGGTTAAGGAAGAGCTTAGGCTGGGTGTGGTGGCTCACGCCTGTAATCCCAGCACTTTGGGATGCTGAGGTGGGCGGATCACGAGGTCAGGAGATTGAGAACATCCTGGCCAACATGGTGAAACCCTGTCTCTACTAAAAATACAAGAATTCACTGGGCATGGTGGTGTGTGCCTGTAATCCCAGGCTGCAGTGAGCTGAGATTGTGCCACGGAGTGAGACT